GTGCTACCGCCAAGGAACTTTCCACTGCTTGGTTTCATTTTTTTTTTCTATAACACACCTTTTATTAAACTTTTTTTATTTTATTTATTATAAAGCTATCATGGTCAGTTCAATCCTAACCACTTTGATACTTTCAAATATAGTAAATAAACAGATCTTGATAGCAGGCACTGAACCTTCCTTTCTTTCCTATGGCGGTCTTGATTTACTGTTTGAGTAATGAATCAGGAGGATCCTTCTGTACTTTCACTTTCTTATACTGTGAAACAATTGATTTAATAACTGTAGGTATTGCTGAGGCAAAGTGGGGAGCACACGCCGAGCTCTCAGCACGCCTCTGAGCCGCTCTGCCGGGTATGAGATTTGCTTTGGGTAACGGGATTATCCAGCTCCTCAGGCTGACACAGGGAGGGCTTCTGGAGAGAAAAGGGGACTGCACCGGGCCTCAGCGGCATCAGGAGAGGTGGGAAGGTGCGTGAGATGATCTGTGGCTTCATCGAGTTTGAAAACATACAAATAATCATGCCCCAGGCCTCTGAAAATAGTTTAGACCTCACCCAGAGCCTCAAATACTCTGAGTATCTCCCCTGAGCTTCCGTTCCTGCTTTGCAGAAGAGCAGATGTTCTGATCACAGGAAGACGCTGCCCTCTCTCTCTCTCACGGATTCATGACCTTAGTGGTTAGAGGACAGATGAGGTCCATAGAGTAGGAAATAACAGCTGCTAAACTAGGGAGTAAAATGTCAGTTCTCGAGTACTTTTTTCAGTATGGCTGAGTGTAGGATTCTGTTTGCATTATATCAGCACTGCTCCGTATGACTGTTATCTGGCTCTTCTTCACCTCCTTTGCTGATCATATTTGAGTCTGGATGATGAGATGAAATAATCTTCTGTATAATCCCATTACCTCTAATGTCTGTCCTTCCTTGTACCATTCAAAGCAGTTCCTTTTCCTCCTTTGAATTGCGGGGGGTTAGTACCGAGATGGGGATATACAGCACATACTACACACAGCTTCAATTTCACAGTGAGAACGTGGACATTCTATTCCATCTTAACATTTATTTAAATTTTCCCACAGTTCAAAAGAAAAAAAAGAGACATCCTATTTCAACAGCTGAAATAAAATGAACTAAAAAATAAAGCACTTCCACAAAGTTACCCAGTGTATAGACTTTCTTATTTTACAAAACAAATAAGGAGGAACATGTTACAAAATAATAATCAAACCAATCAATGTCAATAGTGCAAAGAATGAACTGCAAGTAAGGATAATGCAGGTTTGATGTAAGTGGCAGGAGAGGTCAAGTTCTTGCAGTGAGCAGTTCCACAGGTGAGTACAGTTATAAACGAGAGCTAATAAAGTCACAGAAAAGAATTCTGGAACCTTGGAAAAAAAGATGATCAAACCAGCTTGGATGTCTTGCCAAGTAAATGTCAGTCAGCAACACATCAGAAAAAGCAAAATATTTCTGCAATTTCTTATGGAACTTATGTTCATGTACAATGAAGAACCTAAAATCTCTCTCTCCTTCATGGGATGATTATTTTTGATTCTAAATAAGTAACTTTAAAGGACACATATCAGTCTGATACAGTACTTCTCAGCTAATTTTGCCCTTTTTTCATGCTATCAGGGTATCTACAATAAATAAATGTAAGAGGAGTTTGCTCAAATAAGCTCAGCTGCTCAGAGATTATGTTCATTTTTCCCCTTGTAAACATACTGTTTAGTTTTTTTCTATGCAAAATTCCTGGCAAGAGCTCAAGTCTTACCACAGTACAAAAATGAAATAAATCCATAATGCAAAATAAAGGAAGGTTTAAAGTGGGAACAGCTTCAGGGAATAAATGTGTGCTTGCTTTGAAGGCACATTTCCTGCATGGAGCATTTGAATACTACAAAGTTTTCAAATAAACTAAAGAACAGTAATTATATCTTTCCCAAAAGGAGAGTTAAACAACAAGTTAACGAGATGCTTCCCCAAGATGAAATCATCCCTACTACAGGCACATCTTTTTCTTTTATCTAAATCCTTTCTGCTACTCTAAAACTGACAAAAGGCTCATCCCCATCAACAATCTGTCCAAATTATTACCTATGGATGAAGAGTGTGTGGTTCGAGCACATACAGCTCATACAGTGACAGACAACAACTCACGCTGAGAATTTGGCACTGTCTAATCAAACAAGAACATTGGGACCCTCTACAAAGGCACTGAGATGCCAGAGTTCAAATTCTCTGTGCTCAGAATGGGCTGGACAGTCACACCTGGTGGTATCAACAGGAGATTTTCTATAGCATTTGGTGCATAGTGTGAAAAAAATCTAACCACTTTTTCTAGTGCCTCAATGGGAAGTAAGACCTTTTGAAAAATCTGGCCAAGGTGAATCATACTAAATCTTGAAAATTCAATGGCAGGAATATTGGACAGATATTCTCCAAAGGCCAAAATGGATTAAAACAACTTTTGCTGTTGTTGCTGTTTATTATAATAAGCCATGGCAGCCTTCCAGTTTCTCCTGCACAGGTCCGGTAACCTTGGAAGAGATACTTCTGTTTTACAACTAGGTAAGAGAGATTGGAGTCACTCCTATTTTACTTTATGTTCATCTTTCAATTTGCTTGTCATAAAGAATTCTGTGGGTGGAGTACGATAGAGACTGGAGAGTTTAGAATTCAACAGAGATGGGAAATGATTTTGAGTTTTCTCCTCACCTTAAGGAGTACAATATATTTTAGCTATTATTTGTGTTTACAAGGGCTGGAGAAAAATGAGCCAACTCCTTTGGGTCTGCAGATCAGAGCTGGAAATCTCCTTAACGGTTTCTTTCACAAAGCTCAAACTTCATCATCAATACCTCAGAACACATTCAAGTCTGTTTTGTTCGTTTTCTTGCTGGTCCTTCCCAGAAACTGTACTCTAAAAGCAGAAGAGAAACACAGGAAGAATATCCAGAAGTTTTTTGAATAACTCTGAACTGCAAACAATTAGTGAAAAGAAAGAAGAGTGAGAAAAAAAGTGAATTTTGTACAGAGGAGTTTCCATGAAATTCATCATAGTCGGCCTGTAACAGAGAACATGAATTTAGACCTGTGCTGTTATTTAAACTGTCAATTAATAAATAATAATTACTGGCACTTTATCAGTAGTTTGCATCCTTTGAATTTAAACTGCTTCATAAAAATCAGTTCCATTCTCCCATTTACAGGGTGACATTGCAAATAACTGGCAAGGCCAGAAAAGCTCTCAGGGCTTCAGTGGGACTATCATCTGCAACACAGCAGCACTGTGGGCTCATGAACTCCTTGAGGGATGGAGGCTTTCACTAATTTACAGCAGTGAGATTTTGCTGGTGGATGTTTGGGTAGATATATACATATATCTGGGTTGACCTAGGCCTGAAATGTAGGTGTCTATGGAAAGGCATTCAGACTTTCCCTCTAATTTGCTTTAAAGTCAACCACTTGACTCAGTGTTTGACTCAGTGTAATTAACCTCATGTTTTATCTGGGACCTTGACTACTACAGTAATTTTCATGGTGAAAAATAAAACAGTGAAAGCAGTGATGAATCAGAAATGAAAATCAATTTTCTGTTTTGTGAAATGTAAAATACTTTTATAACTTTTATAAAAAGTTTCAATTTTAATTCATTATGATGCTAAATTACATTTTCAGGGCCTTCCAAATATATGATTTTAAAGCCAGCAGTAACCATTTAAAAGATAGTTGGTTTAATAAATTACTTTTTCATATCTAAAGTTTTTGTACTTGGAGACAAATATTATGCAAGTCATGAAAACAACGACAAAAAAATTAGGTATTTTGATCACGGTTTTATCTGTACTATAATATACATCAGTAAGTGACTATTTTGCCTTTTGTGTTTTTTAAGGAATATTTAAGACCTGCTGTTACTTTTGGCTAAGTGGAGATAAAAAATCACCCCAATGGAAGCCTGCAGTTCTAGTGCTGGAAAAAGAGAGAGAAAAAAAAGTTGAGTGCAGGCTAAGTTAGGGTGTTTTATAAAGATAGTTGTGCAGAAATTATTTGTATTGTAGGTTCAAAACAGAACATGAAAACAATATTACGTTGCAAGGACAGACTGTACATGTACTGTTATTTTTCATCAATTGCCAGCCATATTACCCACTACCCAAGAAAACATTAATAAAAAGGTATGTGTTTTCCTTAAGCATCTTTTTACTAATGTCCCTTCTATATATCAAATTATTATAGCAAATCCTCTGTTCCTAGCAGCTATAACCATGTTCAGTCAAGATAACAGACCAGCCCAGACTAAAGAATGAAGATTTTAAGAACTGGAAAAGCTTTCTTGTAGCTTGTCCAGACCCCAAATGAACATGTGCCCTGTGACGTGCTACAGGCCAGAGGACAAGGCGAAGAGCAGATCAGCTGGATGATCAGCTGCTCTGGCGGTTGTTCGTCTGCTTGATGCTGACTGTGCTTAAGATGCAGAGTTCACTGATTCTCTGGAATGATGGTTGGGATTTTCGCTCTGTTGACATCTTCAGAAATGAGACACACTCACTCTTTTACTCAATGCTCGCTGGATTTTATTAGGCAGCTTGGAAGGAAATGAACCTGCTGATGACCAAAGCAGGTTGGCAAATGCTTAACATAGGAGGGCAAGTTGCAGGTGAGATGAAGGCTGCTCCGGTCTGGCTGGGGTGAGAGCCACAGCACGGCTCAGTGCAGAGACTACACGGCGCCGAGGCAGCGAAGGCAAGCTCGACTGCAATACGAGTCACTTTGTCTATAAACCAGCTGCACTTAAATCCCCCCAGCAAAAGCCCATGGGTCCACTTCAAACAAACCACCGGTGAGCTTCTTCAAAGTATGGATCATCATGAGCAAAAATACTCAATACTCTGTGGAGCTTCATTCTGAAAGTAACAATCCATACTTTTTTAAGGACAATACAGAAATTTCTTCTTCTGGGGCTGTTAATTCCTCCTCCAGGGCTTTTCTCAGGACTTGCAGGCTGATCTGCTTTCACTGTGTGGCACATTCATTGATATTTTCAGCATCTTCTCCCTTCAGATCCTCATTCAAGTTTTTTTTCTGCTCTATCTCTACCTGTTAGGAGAAAAAAAATAAAAATAAAGAGGGAGAACATCTATTATGAGAATGGAGGGAAAAAAGGAATCAGAAGTCTTCCTTAATGCCAGTTTGTGTCCTGCTTAGACAAATAAACTCTTGGTAAACTGAAAACCTTGTAGAGAGAACTCAAGGAAGGAGGGCTGGATTTGGTCTACTGTAAGATTTTTCAGTTCAATCCAAACAGGTTTATGATTCAGCGATGTCATGGCGTCATTTCCAAACAGCATTATGAAGAGAAGAGGGCTCACATGAGTTTATATTCACTACTGTCCACAGCTGAATCCAACCTAGTCCAAACCCAAATCAGAACCAAACTTACAGAGGATTAGGTGACTTCCTAAAGGGCAACAAATGTCTCAGTTTTAAACTCTGCCAAGACTGGCATGAAGCAAAGAGATTCATTTACAAAATGCTTATCTGCATTTGTGTTCAAAATTTCAACACTTCCAAAAATTCAGAATTAATCTAGTATTTAATTCTTAAAAGGATACTTACAAAGACCAAATACTGTCTCCAGGGAATTTAAGAGCTACTAAAAATGTAATTGCAACTACTATTAAAATAATTTCCATGGGAATCTTTTCAGGAGGTCTTGTCATTGCTCTTAGAGAAGACAGGTAGAAAGCCAGTTTCTCCCCTGAGTGATCAGCTAACAAGCAGATTTTGGCATACTGAGATTCTTGGCAGGTATTACACAAGTGCATTTTCCCATCTGCTCCTCTCCTCAGGACAGGCAGGAAAAAGAAATATTTATGCACAGAAACAGGGCAATCCTTTTGTTTGCTGTAGCCCTCCTATTGCAGCTACTAGCAATATCAACAAAACTCTCTGTTGACCCTCACAGTTTATCAGCTCCTCCCCAGGACCTTTCTGTACCTATGTTCTTCCTCCAAAGTAACTGTGAGCAGGTTTATTCCATCTTCACTAAGGGATGATCCACAGCCTATTTGTCATAAGTCAAGAAGTTGTACATGGGTAGCTACTTGCACAGAGCCTGGCGTGCAGCAAATTCGTACCTCACCTGCTCACGTTATTGTACTTTTCTGCCCACTCTGCAAGAAAATGAAGCATGCAAAGTAAGCGTGGTGATCAGTAGAGGCTCATTTTACCTTGTAACTGTAGTGTGCTGAGTAGTTGACCCACTTCCTCACATCACTCTTGTCCTCAACAGAGATGGACCGAACAGTGGCTTTGGAGGCTGATGTGGTGGGCATGTCAAATTCCACATCCACATGGCGGACAAAACTGGAAGGCACTTCCCGATCAGAGCCAAGCTCCAGGTGACAGAAGAAGCAGTGAGGATGGCCAGAGGCTGGCAAAGGAGAGCAAGCAGGCATAAAAGTTGTGCTGAAAGGATCAGGAATGACAACATCTAGGAAGGAGCATCTCAAAATCGCCTTTGTGAAATAATTCATAGCAGTTGACAGCAGCTTACCTGCTTCAAGGTCACTGGAGTTTCCAGAGTAATTAACAAAATAACCTGTGACTGTCAGTCAGGCTAATTTGGTTTCAAGGGATGAAAGCACATGACGTAAATAAAGCACCACAGCGCAGAGGAATTTCCACTGTTCTTCTCCCCCCGTTTATGTAACATAAGTATAGTGTGACACATCCTTCTAAAATGTCATGTGTTGATCATAAGTAAAGGTGAGATGAAGAAGATATTTTGCCTTCATTTGAAACTGTCACCACATTTTACTAAAAGAAACTACACTGTGTAAGTTTACATAACTGCTGGATTTGAAGAACAAACCTGTGTGAAGCAAGGAAATAACTGTTAATTCCTCGCTCTAACCCCTCATAAGAGGTCTAGTCCTAAGGAGGGCAAGGTGAAAGTCCTCCTGCTTAGTTCCTGCCATCTGCAAGTGATAAGTTTTGGGGCTCTCCCTCCACTTTGCATGCACAGCACTGAGGAGTAGGAGTTAGGGCAGGGACTGCTAGTGAGGCTGAGCTGCTTTAGTTTCTGACAGCTGGCCACTCCCCAAGGCCTGGACATTACAAGTCATTGCAGAACTCGCACGCTGGCACCCAACTCTCCTCTCTTCCTCTCTGTCTCCTCACCCTGTCCCAGTCTCAGCAGTCTCCTCATTGCAATCCATCCTCCTCACCTGCTCTGCTTCAGTTCTTTTCTCTCCTAATTTCTACTGGGTTGCTCCCTCCTTCAGACACCCGGGTCTCAGCAGAGGCCCATGACACTCAAGAGAGGTAACTCCGAGCTCTGGCCCAAGTCACAGCCAGGGCAGCTGATACGGAAAGTTCAGCTCCTACCTCCACGCTCCTGAGCTGGCCTTTGCCTAGTTGCTTTCTGGACAGATCCAAGCGAAGGTAACACACGAAGTGCTTGACTAGGCTTGAGCACACCTAGTGACAGGAGGTTCATTGCTATTAAGGGATTTGAGCTATCAAACTAACTCTTCAAAATTGCAACTAGACACATGCAAAGGGCAATCTTTCAGCTAATGCAGCTAAATACCAGTGGATTTTCACAAGTTCAGATAAAAAAAAAATAGTACAAGCTCAACAACAAGGACAAATAATATTGCCTGCCTGCTGCAGAACCTGGCAGCCCTTGTTCTGATAACTTTGCATAGGGGCTAAACTGTAGTTTCCCCTAACTTTATTCCCTGACATGACCAAACCATTTGGACCGAAGCTCGGTTAAGGGCATTGCTCGAGGCGGCATTCTGTATGTGACAGCTACACCTGCACAGGTAACGTCCCTCAGAGCTGGCAGCAGGACCCTAATGTGCAAAATGTGAGGATCCCTTAGAAAAAGGCCATTCATTCTACCTGTCCTCCCTGCATTGCTGGAAAGCCATTCTGGGCAGAAGGTCGTAAGAAAAAGAGGGAGCAACAAAGTTCAGCACCAGGGGCTGCACGCAGAGGTGATTATCCCACAGAACAGATACGGTGGTGCAGGTATTTGATCTAGCAGTTGCTGACTGATTATCCCATGCCATGCATGTAGTCTGACACAGACACAGTCTCTGCTATTAAGATTTTGTTAGCTAATTTTTGTAAACCAACTGTAATTTAAAATTACAAATAACCAGATCTCACAAAATAGTCAGTAATCTTTGCTCTGCTGGTTTAACTTCAATATCAAGGAATGCCTGAATTTATTTTTTCAATTTAAGTACACAATTATTCAGTAACTTAATTTCCTCTAGTAGCCGTACCCACTAACAGAAAGGACCAGACAAAACACTCAAACACTACCAAAGTTGTTTGTCTAAACCAGGTAAGTACGGAAGGCAATCAAGTGAACTGATTCAGAAAGCTGCTCTTGCACCGAATCTGTAACAAAAATACTGGGCGTATCCATGTCTGTTAGCACCACGCATGTGAGGCACACCAAGTACCACTTCCATATACTTCCCGATTATTTATCAGGCTCATTCAGAGGTTTTTCCCTAATGGATAGATACACCTTTGTAGTAAAAACAAGAGGAAATCAACAGACTGATTTTCCTTTGAGCATCTTTCTGCCTTGAGCTCTAGCATTTCACCCCATCAGTAACGAAGCTGATAATATAATTCACATACATGCTTGGGCTATAATGATTGGAGGCAAACAGTTGCAGGCTACTCTGGTGCCTTAAATACAAATGCTTGTATTTAAGGGTTGAATTTACTCCGCTTCACAAAGTATACTGGGCAGCATGCGTGGGATCCACAGCCAAAGTTCAAACGTCCAGATCCAGCATTCTGCTTAGAGGCTACATCCCCATTTTATTGGAAGAGATTTTTCCCATGACCAAGGCCTGCGCATGGATGTTTTCATAACAAACTGATGGTGGATTAAAAAACACATGCGGAGTCCAGCCAGTTGCAACTGAAGCTCTGCAGACCCTATAAATAAGCCTTCTTTATCAACTGCTGTGATAATATCAATTGTGGATAGGAGAAAAGTAATAAAGTTTACCAAGCTGGTTTGGAAAAGGATTTTAGCAAGGTATTTAGTGAAATCCAGTCCAGAACTGTTTCTTAGGTCAACCCATAGGCAGAGTACACACAGTTCCTTGTTTGTCGTAGGCTTCCGAACTTCTAGTTCATAGCAGGCGCCTTGGCTTCAAAATAACACGGACAGCAGTGACAGCAAGTTCCTAACATGAGAGCACCGGGGCCCCATCCGCTTAGAAAGCACCAGGAGAAGACGCCTGCGCCAGGCAGGGGGTAACGGAGAGGATTCTTAGCAAGCAGGGGCCGGGATGCGCCAGTCTCCACACCAGCCCTGCCCGGCCCTCGGGGCAGGCAGGGCAGCGGGACCCAGGCGGGGGGACGTGTTGGCTGCCTTGGGCTATCCCGAGCGCGGCAGCTCGCGGAGCAGGGCCCAGCACAACGGCTGCGCGGGGCTCCCGGGACCCGGGCGCGCGTCTGCGGGACTGCGCGTTGGAGCACAGCCGGGAAGAGCCAAGGCGCCCCGGCACCTGCTCACAGATCTGCTCTTTGCAGATCAGACATCCCCAGAGGGAGCCCAAGAGCTGTCAGAGGGGAGAGGCAGGTGCTGCAGTGAGCAGGCTCCAAGTGGGAGCCAGAATAGTAATTCCTGGTCTTAGAGCTTGGGAACAGAGACTTCTGTTAATACGTGGAGATGAGCTACTGTGTAAACGGGGGTAGGGCTGGATCCTGCGAAGCACACACAGAGTTGGGAGCAGCCCACACATCTCTTGCACATGGTCTGTGCGAGCCCAATCTAAGGAGTGGGACTGAACCCCCTAGTAAATCAGTGCATCTGAGTGGCTCCATCCACAGACTTCTTTGCCTAATTTGTTGTTTGCAATATACTCAGAGTAAGGAAAACTCCAAGACAGGACAAGCACCATCAAGACACAGAAACAGTCTTTGAAAGACAAGGTCAGATTTAAATTACACTTGGCCTGTCCCCTACTGTGGGATTCCCTCCCCCTCCCATGCCTCCTGTGCCCCCTGGCCAAGTCAGGGCTCGCAAGGCCCTTCCTCCCCCTGAAATTACCCCTGACCTCACTTGAGGGGCGAGCAGAGTCGCTTCCTCTCAGGATGTAAACAGATATTAACTGCCCTGAGCTTTGCATGGTGACACTGATGGCTAGATGCTCTGTGCCAGGGCTCCAACAGCAGCGCCAAGTCTGTCACTCATTTCCTCGCCTATGGGGCAGATAAGGCCTTGACTGGGAGAGGCAAGACCAAGGAAATAGAGGCATGGGCTGACATCTCCCTCCAAGCGGCAGTGCGCAAGGGAACTGCAACTTGTAGCAGGTAACAGAGCCAGGAGCTCTGCTGCTTTTCCTGCTCTGCTACTGGCATGTTCTATAACTGTGTTACAGTCTGTTAAAGTTTTCCCAGCTGTAAAGTCTGTATGTCATACGGAGATCTTTGGAGAGAAGATGCCACAGAAGGCCCAGTTTCACAGCATCTCATATGCTGAGCTCGTGCAGATGGCACAGTGAGATTTTCCTCACAAGCAGATTATTGCTCTTATACAGCCTGAGAGTATTTTTTCACTGCAGTACTTCCTCTTCAGTTCCAAAACTCTCATCCTATATCCTGCACCAACAGAAAACATGGAGTCTTCATTTTTGACAGTGATATCCTTTCAAATTCGTATGGTTGTATGGGTTGAAATGTTATCCAAAAGCTTATAAGACTTGGAACAATGATTTGCTGACACAGTAGCTCAACCTCAGGAAAAAATAAATCTTCTTAGAAAATGCCAGATCTGGTACAATGTTGAATTTTCTTTCAGGGAATCCTAACTATGAAAACCCACTCAGTCAGACAGCTGTATTACTACACCATTCATTAGCAAACAAACAAGCAAATAAACTACATTTAGTTTTTAAAAGACTAATCTAGATTAGAGAAATCAGAAAATGGAATTCACTACGAAAAAAATAGACCTGACTATTCTAGCTTTACTGCCCACAGCAAATGAAAGGCAGGAAGTGAAAGAAATGGCAAGGATGACCAAAGGGAACAATAGCTTGTTCGTATCATTTGAACGTTTAATCATTAACATGACACAAGAAACAAAAAGATTTGTGGGTTTTCTGTTGGTATTTTCTCTTTGGAGCTAAGCTATATTTAGAACCTGCCTGCACTGACTGAAGAAACACTGTCACAAACTGGTGTTGGGAAAATTGTTCATTTGCTTGCTTGCTTGTTTGTCTGTAATGGTTACACAGTGTCTCGCATCCTCTTGCAGCCCTCATTCCAGGTACCTTATTGGCATCAGCTGCAGCATATGGTTGAAATACACAGCACTGGCCCACTACACTTGGAATAAAAAATTCCTACGTGCTAGAGCTACAGCAATTCATTTGGCCCTGTTAATTCAGACCCATATCTTACATTTATAACTTACCTGAAAAATCTCTGCTTTTCATAACAATGTTAGACATTGTGAGGCATTTGATACAGAAGTCCCATAATGTACTCTTAAAAAGAGACAGGAGGCACAATTTTGTATCTGCTACACCGAAACTGTTTTTCTATCACTAGCACTGTTTAAATGATACATAAAACTACTTCAATGAGGGGTCAGTTAACTGCTTCATGTAACTAATTGAAGTACTTTGGTTTACTACAAATTATGATTTCTTTCTAGCACTCCCCATCTCCCAAAATAAATTCTTACTGTTAGCCTACCCACTCGGAGGTTGTATGTACCACTCACCTGAATTTTTATCAGGCAGTCGGTTTATCCTCCATACGATGGAATTAAAGGCATGCTCATATTTGGCAGTTCCCAAAGTTACTCTCATTACTGGCTCTGAACCAGATACACTGGTTGATCCGAAACTGGCGCCCTTGTTCACCTTGGCTTTCAAAGATTTCTCCCCCAGGACGCTCTCCCTGCGGAAGTTCCTCACCCACTCGTTTGGCACTGGGTAGCGGATCATCACATTTTCACAAGGGACCTGAGTTAGAGGGTCACGGTTGGAGGAGAACCCAGTGGACATCATCAGCCAGCTCTGCAGCTCCACCTCAGCACCGTTGATGCTGGCTGCTGTCCTCAGAGTAAAAGGCAAAGCTTTCTCAGCAAAGACAGTTCTGAATCGCATCAGTTCGAATCGGCAGGCATCCAAGGGGTTGAACAGGATAACACGGGAATTATTAAACATATCCTCATCCACACATGAATGGAACCGACAACTGTATAATTTAATCCACTTAGTGGTAGTAGTGGGCATTATGTCCTGCCTTGCAACTATTTCATTCCCTTTGATCAGGATGTCATTAAGGCCCAGTCTGCATTCTGCCAGGCCAGAAAGGAAGCTGAGAACATAGATATGGGTCAGCACACTGTGCTGGAGAATCACATTGTCTCCTTTGGCCAAGATGCCATGAAACTCATCCCTGATGTCAACAGTGATTTCTTCTTCTTGGTAGTTCAGTCCTACTGTGCTCAGATCTGTTGATGAGGTGGGTAGATTCATCAGTGCGTCCTGCACAGCACTGATGAAGCTAAGGAAGTCTTCATAGTCTGTAGTCCCCAGCTTGATAACTTGCTCTCTCTCTGCTGTGTGAGCAATAGCTGGTTTAGGCTGATACTTCTTTTTCTCCTTGTAAGTGGTGCGGTCTATCCGCACACTGTGTATTCTTCCATTCTCATCGTAGTTCTGGAGTTTGCGTTCTGAAATCTCATGATTGATTTCCAGTTTGAATTCCCGGAAAGGTTTCTCCAGCCCTTTTTCATAAAAAAGCTGTATGCATCCACTATCAGTCAGCTTGACATATATTGGTCCCCAGTGCCTGGATGACATAATATTCTTCTTTTCTGGGATCCTGAGCATCATTGGCCATCCATCCTTTGGTTGAGCTGGTGCCAGGTTAAATAAAGCAGCATCCAGATCATGCGGCATCATGGGATCATCATCAGGCAAGGTAGGGCTGCTCACACGATCTGGGTCTCCAATCTGGAGTTGCTTGAGCTGCTCTACGGCATCTGTGTGGACTACACTTTTGTTTGACTCAAGGAAGCTGATGGTATCAGGTTCTTGGTGGAGAACAATAAGAGAGTCTCTTTGGCTTTTGCCTGGAGCGCTAGGGACAGAAGAGCTTTGGGAACGCCTGTCTCGCTCCTCAAAGAATGAGCTGAATGGATTGATAGGTGAGGGTTGGACATCTCGCAAAGATTCATCCAAGAAAGGATTAGTAGCGCTCCATGGCGGTGTTTCAACAGAAGGCAACTTGGTTAAGGAGGAAAGATCTAGCTTTTGAATTTTGGAGAGGTCACCCAAGGTGCTTTTAGGCCGTTCTCTTTTCTTAAAGGATGCAGTGAGGTTAAAGTTGACATCTGGAGTCTGTTTTTCCGCAGGTGGGGTGTCTGTTTTCAAGGGAGAAAGGTTCTGTGGTGAAAAACTGACCTCGTTGTCATCAAAAGTCACCCAGCTGGGAAAGCGAGCTGTGGTTGGGGTAGCAGAATGCCCATTCATGGAGGTGTTGTTCAGCTGCCAATTGACAGCCTCCATATCTACCTCTTCATCTTCCTGGAGAGATGAGGAATTGTCTTTAAAAAAAGAGAAAAGAGAAATTTCAGCTAATTATTCTGAAGTTATCTAGTTCTTTTCTCTCAACGAAAAAAACTTGGTACAATACTTTGCATGCTTGAAAAAGATGAGATGCTTTAAGCCTTCACTAAAATGAGAAAAAAAGGAGCAAGTCTTTAGCATTTGCCTGTTTCATGCCCTCTCTTCCTTGTTCTCTTTTATTCCTTTCTGCCTCCATATCGTCTACATCCTCTACTTCCAAGAATAGGCCAGTGGAAAGAAGAAATGAATGCTGAAGAAGGGCACTTCTTCACATGATCTCCATGGAGCTGCCTGCACTTTTGCGGTTATTGCAAAAGGACATAGGGATATGGTAAAAGTCCCCTATAGAAGGTGCCTACATAACATTGATTGCACAAGAGAGGCTCTTTGGCTTAGCCAGTGACAAACACCCACTGCTTGGTAGTCTATGAAAAAAAAGCTAGAAGAAGTTGTGATCTAGGGATGTACATTATGATACAGTAAAAGATATTTCTGACTTGTGTGGTGGAAGCTGCCCTCGCAGTCTGTCAGTACGCATCACCCATGCTAGTCTCAGGCTCTGCCAAGACATTTCCCCAGAAGCCTGCGACATCCTTCGCTATTTTAGGCCCAGCCCTTTCTGGAGAAGATACCTGCAGGCGTTTATGCAGGCATTTTTGTATTTATAATGTAAAATAAGGCATTTCCAAAATGAACATCATTTCTCAGAGTTCAGAGATTACAGAGTTTTCTTCCCATCAGGTTGATAAATCAGAGTGCTTTTCAAAATGGGCAGTCTGCAGGAAATTATAAGCTGAGGCTGCATCACAGGTTTGCTCTGCATAGGATGCAGTGCTAGCTAACTAGCTAGCTAGCATTCAGGCCTTAGGTTCTGATAAACACAGATCACATGTTTTAACAAAGTCAACGATTCTGATAAATATAGATCACATGTTTTAACTAAGTCAACCACTCTTCAGTACAAATAGAAAAGTGACTGCAAAAAGTAGCACTTCGGTATGGCTGTACATGGCTGATTTGAACATATTTTACAGTATTAACAACTATAAAACTATTTAAGTCAGCATTTTAATTGCTACCAGTTCCCAAAAATGATGACCTTGAGTCCCCTTCTGTCTCACACAAACTGTAAGTACCAAGATTTGTCATATTAGTTAGGAATTATGCATGAAGCAGAATGACCTGAATTTGTTTTTCATACCATGACTTTGTGGTGGTGGTGATAATAATAATAATAAAGCAAGAACAACAGCAGGAACAATGAATGGCTTTTATAAACTATGCAGGCATTTCAGTAGGTTTTCAGAACAAGAGTGGTACCGGTTTTCAGAAAAAAAGTGGAGACCCTGCCCTTTCATTCCAAGGTCGTTACTACCTACCTGTAGTCCCTGCTACCATCTGCACTACTGGGTACAGTGGAGAGTCCCTTATTTATTAAGTTTTGCCACAATCTATAAATAGACCTGTGTAAAAAAAAAAATCCCAATCATTCACAAGGACATCTTGAAGTGAGCTCCAGGAAATGATTAAAGAAAAAGAATCTGGTGCTTTCCTGATCCCCAGATCCCCACCTGCTGCTCTGTTACACACCTTCCCAAGGATCTGCTCAGTTCTTTGAAGCAAAGCAAAAGCAGTGGAAAGATTTGATAGGGAAAATTCTGCTTTTATAGCATTTCTGGGAAAGTATTCCTCATTTCTTTGAAGATTTCTAGTAATCCTGCATTAAGTAAATACTTCAGCATTTCTTATGTCCGTACCTTTTCCCTGTCTGCAATTGTAATTTTCCCTTTTTCCTTACTATTGAATTGCAGAAATGCAATGTGATTCCCAATAGAGCACTGACACTTCTGGAAAGTTTGAGCCAGGCAGAAGAGCAGACATCCTTGGGATTTCAAGTGAAATACACACAGAATTCACCTGTCAACATTTCTCTTCAAATTAAACATTCACAAAGCATTAAAGAACACCTTTCTTTCTCAAGGCAAAAGTAGAAGTACCTTCTGCTGCTTCCAAAGTTTCCATACAGTTGGGTTATATCAAGGCTGTTCTAAAAGATATATATATTTTTTTTTAACTTTGTCTATGAGAATATATGACTAACACCAGGGAAAACAAAATAACAACACGATAATGCAGCTAAGCATCCAAAGAAAGTTCCTAAGAACTAGGTCAAAGAGCCTATATATTGCAAGAGAAATACTGGAACCTCTGTTACAAAAGCACATATAGCATGATGAGAAATCTTGACACGTTACAGGATGGCTCAGATGCTGATCTGAGATTTTTCCCATCTTCACTTTTGAAAAGTTTATGAATACTAATGTTTCAAATTCAAAGGTTTTTCAATCTGGCAACAGTCCTAGGTCCAGGAGAGAGCCGTCAAGTCCCTCAGACGAACAGTTAAACTCATCACTTGACTCCTTTGCCTTCCTCAGTGTTTTAGAAATTCCTTTCTGCAAAATCAAACAAGAAGATGCCTTGCTGACAGACTGCGCCCAGACAGAAAGCGGCTCCTGACCGTGGCAGGTTCATTCTGGAGATATGGTTGAAACAAAGCAGGTAGCACTGCTTTCTTGTCTGTCGCACATTCCTTTACTCAGTACACGACTTTGGTGGGTGCTTCTTGCAAAATTAAAGCGTTTGTGAATGTCTGAATGACCTTGCCAGATTGCAGCCTGGCAGGTAGCTGCAGCCCAGCTGCAAGCCCTGCAGAGGAGGTGACGGGCACGGAGGCTGTGGCTCCTGCCCCGGGGGCACGCGGTGTGCGGCTGTCCGCAGAGCCACGCGGCTCCGCAATCCCTCCCGCTCCGGCCGCTCCTTACCCTGTACACACCTGAACATCATTACTTTGCCATTGTATCATTTGGAAACTCAAGTCCCTGGCGAGCAGTAAAATGCCCAGCTGCATGGCACATTTTTCCTTCCGCAGGTCTCCTAAAGCTTTGCTGTTTTACAAGTGTTCCGTAGAAAACGGGTTAATTGTTTCAGTAGGATAAACTGAGAAATGGTATTACATTTTAATGGACATAGAATACTTCACTGTTATCAGGCTCTTATCACTCACTACAAGGGAAGAAGGCTTTGGAGCTCTTTGTTTTTCATCTTTCATTTTTCCATTTAAACGATTCTGACGCAAACCAACATGTTATAATAGCCAGGTAGCTTTGCTTCACTTATGCCCCCCAAAAGGAGGCATCCAACCATTAAAGGGCACTTGCACCTTGCAAACTGTCCAAGCTGCGCCACAGAAGTAGAAAAAATCACAGCATTGGAGCTCTCTCAAAAAGCAAGCCAGATGAGATTATTACTTTGAGAAATGGATCCAAGCAAAAACCTGGATTTCTAAATCTCTAAGTACTTGCCTACTTTGCCGCTTAGCATAATTTAGCTTAGACTTAGCTTCATACCCCAGCTATTTCTGTTACCTGAATAAATACATTTATGTCCAATTCAGAGAGCTCTAATTCACTCCCGTGTGCAGTGGGATCCCTTAACGTTGTCACAGCCCCCAATGGGGCACTTCTTGCCAACAGAGCTGACACAGGACCTCAAACACAGTAGACGCTGCTGATTTCTGTTGGCCTGGCTGAGCCTAGCCTAGGACTTTTGCTGGAAAGTGATCTGCAGAAAGTCTCCGTGACCTCATATACGGACAGGTAGTACTTTAGGCTTGACCTTTGTAGCTCAGCCAGGTCAAGGGAATGCCAGGTTTAAAATTCACACTGTCCCGTATTCCACACTGAAGCAATACGGCCTGACTTGCATTTCCAGTCTTGCCACTGACCTGCTAACACCGGCTGGGAAAGATGCCTCACCATTGCATTCTCCTGGCCCCTGGGTCTCTTCCCACTCGTTGCATTTTTTGACTAATAGGAATATAAACATGGAACGGTGATCACTTCTCTACGGCAGTACCTAGCACATGCCTAAGACCTCCCAGTACTCTACAGGGCACGTCATAGTTTGTGATTAGAAGGATGATGGGAAGGAGCCAGAAGGCCTTGAACCCCTGGAGGACCAAAAGCCAGGAGGTTGGAGGGCACCTCTGTGAGCATCCTTGCGCGTTTTGAGCATCTCTGCAAGATCTGACGTGTGAGACAGCGGCTCACGCAGCCCACACGCTCTTCTCCTGCTGCTTAACATACTACATAAAAAATACCGACAATCTTAGCTCTCCTGCTTGTTGAACATGTCTGTATAAAAATTTTGTTTTTAACTTTGTATTTCCCAGCACAGTTAGCAGAGATTTAAAAAACAGCACAGATTAAATAACCAGCAAAAGAGGGTGTGATATGGAAGACTAATGTCATAGCCCTAATCACTAGGGTTCCCTTTCCTATTCCTTCTCCTCCCACCTGACAGGCTTCTCAGATCACGTTGAAAGGTTCCATCCTTAAATAACATTTCAGTTTAACATACTCTGCCATGCTCTGTCACTGCGGCTGTTTGAACTTTAGTATCTAAATTTAGGCCATGTAGATCAGTGGCCTGATTGAACAGGGTGGCGTTTCACCCTGATTCTGCTGGAGGTCTCATCTGAAGCATTAAACAGTCTCTCCCCAGGGGTTAACAATTACTTATAACCACGCTTTCAGCTTTCATAAACTACTGCAAATTCATCACAGTAAGTGCCAGAAGAAATTAAACCATCAGAAGAAGTTAAACTGGCAGAAGTCACAAATAGATTATCACTAGTCAGCTCCTAACTCTATTTAAAACACAATGAACTTCATCCACATTCAATGAATTTAGCCCCATGAATGTGCCTCTAATTTTTATAAAAATTGCTGTATTTCCTTTTTTATTGAAGTCATCAGGCAGATAATGAACTGAAGATGAAATATAAGCAAGTTGACTCAGCCGCCCACAGCTAGACTGTAGCAGCTCTCATATTGCAAAGGAGCTCTTGGAAATTACTGTCTCCCCTGTAACACAAAGAAAATCCCAAAGGACTTTGTGCATTTTAGTTGCTGAGGTC